CACAGCTCTTTTAAGAGAATGCTGTACTGTGACACAATTGTATGGATTAAAACCATCATGTAGGAGTTGCCTGCTTCTTTGTTTTAGAGCAAGGTGTTATAATAGAGCAGTGTTCAACCTTTTAATCTGTTACATGTTTCTTATTTTGTGTTTTGGAGTACTATTTACAATTGTCTTCCGCTTCTGTAAATACGTTGTACAAACAGAGAATGTAAGCTGAAATGAGGAAAAATATCTTCCTCGCCAATTTTGATAAGATAAATAATGATTTTTGGTTTTATGTTGGTACCAAGCTATATATATATATATATATATATATTTAACACTTATGACAGGTATATCTAATAAACCTTTCTTCTTGTTTTAATCAAGTGAGAATACAGAATTCAGTGCAGTTGAGACATCTGTGTTGTAGAGAAATTGTCAAGAGAGCAATTACTATATTTAGTTATTTCTTTAAAATCTTATGATTTAAACAGTTCAGTAATACAGTAAGTTTGTTCTTCTCTTCATGGATTGTTAATGTTGGTTTATTAACTTGTGTAACTCAGTGATTTATTTTTTTTATATTTTAATTGTTATAATTTAGAGGAGGAAAAGAGCAGCATGTTGAACATAAGGACATAGGGTAAAGCCAAAAACTTAAACCAGGTTCTGTTACAGCCTTAACAGTGCTGAAATGAATGTCTTTGAGCATTTGGTGATTTACAAGCACACATCATGTACAATAATGCTTTTATCTGTTTCCAGATTGTTTGTCAAGCTTGTTCATCAAATAAACATGGTTTAGACTACATGAAAAACCAGCCAGCAAGAGTATGTGATCATTGCTTCAGGGAGCTACAGAAACAAGGTAAAGAAATTCTTCACAAGCTGTCTTATTTTTGTGGCCCTTATTAACATATGTTTGTGCCTCATCCTTACTGCTGGATTCAACTGCCTAATTCTGCTAGTCACTGACAAGTCTTAGGCATCTGAGTTTATAAAAGGCCCAAGCAAGTTTCTGTGGAGTAAGCTAGGAAGTGAATTTTCAATACATTGGCTCTTTCTTCCAGGAACGTGCATTTGCCCTATGGTAATGACATGTACCATATACCTCTTTCTTCTTGAGATAACTAGTGTTACATTGCTTTTCATCTTATATTTATGCAGAAACGAACATAAAGTCAGTGCAGGCATCTCTGAGTGAAATGGGAATCCAGTCCCATCTCACAAGACTTGCTCTGAATTCTGCCAAAGACTCTAGTATAAAATATGCAAGCAGCCATAAGCAGGGACTGGAACAGTTTGCTGCCTTTCCCATTGGCAGAGGCTACAGTTCAACACAAGCTCTATAGGGTATCAGGAAATCTGTGATTCCCCAGGGAAATAATCAGGCTATGGCTTCTAGCATGCTGGCAGTGACATTTCTCATGGGGATATGGAAAGCAGCATCGGCAACCCTTGAAGTGCTGGTGGGAGCCTGCGTTGATGCAGAAGGTGGATTGTATGGACCACCTGCAGGTCTGTGGGTTGGGCACTAGAGGCTCCTGTGCTGCAGGCAATTGCAGGTGCTTTTAGCTGGGAAGAGAGCTGCACAGCAAGTGGGTACAGGTCGCAATCCAATTGCTCTCCTGCTCTGCTTATTATTTCAGAGCCTCGGCAGGGGCTCTGCTCAGGGACAACTCTAGAAGTAGACTTAATGAAGCTATTCCTTCCAGGATGGGCTGTGAAACAGTGGTAGGTCTTGCTAGAAAATAGGGTTTTAAAGGAGTGAAGTGTTGCAGAAGTCTTCCAAGAGAGATAAAGGGAATGCCAGTGGCAGTGGAGAAGTATGGATTTGACTCTGTAGATGGGAATCTCCAGAAGTGCATGAATGATGGCATGATGCTGGAAGAGGAACTGTGTAGCACCCATACTGAAAAAAGCTGAGAAGATAACAGATGTAGAGGACTGAAGGACAGTGTTGGGGAACAGATGTTAAGCACAGGCTGAACTGCAGAGGACAGCTCTAAAACTTTGGTGTGGTTTTTAAGACTTAATTTTCACCCTGCATATGGGCAAAGGTAGTTCATCATCAAGAGCACAGACTGTAAGCAAACAAGACCAATCCATGTGGTTTTCATTTTCTTGTGGGCTTTTTTTTTCAGTCTGGGTGTGATTTGAGAGATTCTAATTCATGTTGTTGATGATAATACTGAAAAGTTAATTCCACACAATGTGATTGTTATTTTTGCAACAGCTAATCAGAAGAAAAATGTCAGCTGTTTTTAAGAAAAAAGTCCAAGAATCACTGCCTGTGTTTAGTCACCTATGACATGAAAGCCATATTTATCCTATGTATTTTAGATAACCAGTGCACTCCTAAGAGTGGATCCCCAGTCAACCATAAATCTCCATCAAGTGCCTTGTCTACAGTTTTACACAGCATTCCCTCTGGAAGAAAGCAGAAAAAAATTCCTGCAGCCCTCAAAGAAGTAAGTTGATATTATATCATCAATATTAACAATGAAAAAAATAGTTCCATATTTAGGCATTTCTTTAGAAATCTGCAAAGTCAAAATTTGCCCGTAACAGTGGCTTGCCCTTTAGTTTTAGGCAGGGACCTGAACTTTGAAGCAGAATATAAACTGCATAAACACCTGTGAGACTGTGATTCAGGGAGATAGTTGGAATTTTAATTTCTTTCCTGCTTCCCTATGTTTCAAGGAATGGTGATTTACCACTGCACCAACAGTCAATGCCTACACCAACTCAGCTCCTAGCTTATGATTAGGAAAGGTAGAGCTAAACTCTCCCTACCTATGCTGGAGGTTTTGGGAATGGAAGGAAGTAATTTTTTTCTTCTTACATAAATGTGTGTTCTCCATCTGTGTGTGATCCTCAGTGTTTCAGCCCTCTTTTGTCTTGTTGCATCCAATTTAAGTTCCAACCCTAATGACTGCAGAAACCTCTCTTGCAGACCAGATAGAAGGTGGCAGACAAAATCAGTTTTCTTTCAGCCGTCTGAGTTAATTAGCAACATTAACTTGAGATCGGGTAAGAATTGGAGTCTTTGACAGGACAGGGCACTGGAGATCTGTTTTAAAAAAATCTGTACTGTGAAAACCTGGTCAGATGCATACATACTTTTGGGGTTTGTTTGTCTCTTCAGGTTTCGGCAAATACAGAAGACTCTACAATGAGTGGCTATCTACACAGATCTAAGGGCAGTAAGAAACCATGGAAACACCTATGGTTTGTTATAAAAAATAAGGTGCTATATACATATGCTGCTAGTGAGGTAAGAGGTTACATATTAGAAATCAAATAGCCAATGATAATACTTTCTTTGTTACAAAGCTGTTTATTTTTATCATCTGGCAACAAGCTATAGTTAGATCACGTAATGCTAACTGGTCTGATTGCATTATAGTATTTTGAAAAGGCCCAGTGACTTAGTACCATAACATGCTGATACAGCTCCACTGTTTCTGATTCCAGACCTAGCTTTGAGTACTTCTGCATTACACACCATTGCACAGTTGTAGGTATGTTCTGAGTCAGCTGAATACATGGAGGTCTGTTTGGATGCATCATGCTGGGCTAGTGGCAAAGACAACCTTATAAAAGCATCTTGAAGTATCTTGTTCTGAAGTTCCATATGGTATCTTGAATGTTTGGAAAATGAGCAGACTAAATCTCTTCTCAAACTGTCATCTTCAGCCTGGAGTTACTATTTAATACACAGTGTGGCAGTAGAAAAAAGAAATGCATCTTATCTAATGGCATTTGCTATTTTTATTTAGAATGTGTAGTTCTGTTGTAGTGTGGAATAATCTAATCAATATGTATAAGCTTGGCACATCCGAGCATGTGCTGAGGATGTAGTTTTATTGCATCTTATAATGTCTTGCAGCATATATGGATGCACTGTAGCACTGGAAGATCTTGGGTTTCACCTTTGTGTATTACATATTATAGTTTGCTAATAGCTTTGAAGAGCAAAATATCCAAGGCATCTGTTTAAAGGCATTGCCATCCTTTACTTTTCTTCCAAAATGTAAGGTCCAGCCTATCCTGGGCCTGATATTTTGTAAAGAATTACCCTTCTTTACCCTCGTGCCACTCCCACTCTAGCTATTTCCTGGTTTATGCTCAGATTTGTTCCTCCTGTAGTGCCAATCTTTATTTTGAATTTCTGAATTACGTCCAGAAACTGTGATGTTATTTCCACCACAGCATTGTCAATAGTAAAACCCCAAGTATTTGTAAAACTACCTTTGATTAGGTACTTTTGCAAAGATTTGACAAATATTTTACAGCAATGTGTCTTTCCCGGTAGTTGCAAAGGAGACTTTAACAAAGGGTAAAGAAAGGCATATTTGTCTGTGACAGTCACCTTAAATTTTCTTTTGCTGATATTAGCCTTCCAGAGTAGCTTCAGTTTGCAGATCAAAATAATAAAATTAACTCTTTCCTGTTTTCTTTAAACTAAGGAATAGCTGTCTTTATTTTTCATCCTGATGAGCCATTGCAGGAGACATTGTTTAGAGGCTCAAGGGAAGGTCCAGTGTGGCCTTAGCCAGAAAGCTCCAGTTAAACTACTTCTGTTAGTTCCACGTGATATCAAGTTTAGTGCTAAAAAGACCACTTATTAGTGGTACAAAAACTTAAGATACTAAAAACTACCTGAGATACTAAAAGTTACCTAAGATACTAAAAGGTGCCTAAGATATTAAACCAGATTTCTAAGCCTTACTTGACTGTTTTCCAATATCAAGAAACGTTGCTTTCTCAGGATACTCTTGTTTCAATGTAGAGGCAATTACCAAAGTCTTCACCTGATGTGTCGGTGTTTATGTGCATTCATTATTTATTTTTTTACTCTCCAGAAGCATTGCAGGTCCCTGCCTAGTTACAAAACACTGTTTTGGAATATGCAAAGGACGAAAATATGTTTTCCTTTTTCCCCCTTCCAGAAATGCTGGGCATAAAAAAAGGAAGCAATTGAGATAACTGAGGAAGGGAAAAGGTTGCCTTATTAGCCAGGTTTTGAAATTAAATGAAGAGGAGGTAAAAAGGTGCAGCTTCTCTTGCTACTCTGTACTAGCCAACCACTTGGCTAGGAAAACACTTAGCAACCTTTTTTCCCTATGCTCTGTCGTGGTTTAAAACCAGCCAGACAGCTCATTCACTCACTCCCCCCCTTCTTTCCCTCCCCCTACTTCTGGAGGGACGGAGAGGAAAATCAAAAAGAATGCAACTCCCACGGGTTGAGATAAGAACAGTTTAGTAACTAAGGTGTAACACAAATCACCACCGCTACCACCAACGGTAACAGTGATAAAGGAAATAACAAGGGAAGAGAATACAACACCTCAGCACCAGCTGACTGGTAACTTGCCCCCCCAGCCCGACCAAGCACCGACCCATACCTCCTCCAACCCCGCAGTCCCAGCCCTTCCGGCTCACTCCCAGTTACATCCTGGGCATGACGTGCTGTGGTATGGAATAGCTCTTTGGTCAGTTTGGGTCAGGTGTCCTGTCTCTGCTTCCTCCCGCCTTCCCCTCCTCCCTGGCAGAGCATGAGGCTCACAAAGTCCTTGGCCAAACCAAAACATCATTGTCAGCTCTGTTCCCAGGCCGAAAGTCAAAACACAGCACTGCACCAGCTACCAAGAAGGAGAAAAATGACTGCTACTGCTGAACCCAGGACAGCTCTTAGTTTTCAGCACCAGGAAGCAAAATAAGTTTAACCGTCATTAAGTATTTGGAGTGTGACTCCTGTGCTTGAGAAAAGAATATCAAGATGTTACCAGGGAAATGGGAAATAAAAAGAGGAACAGCTATGTTGAAGTCTATGAGGTTTTGTTATTTCCTGTCCCTCGATTCATGCATGGAGACTATAAAAAGCAGCATTTTGTACGTGACTATTTGTAACAACCTGTTTGTTGTATAGTATGTTGCAATGGTATGGTGCATGAGTAAGTCTAAATGCATTTCTTAGTATGTCTTACATGCTCAATTTTGTCTCGTTTGCTTTTTTTCCCCCATAAAATAGGATGTGGCAGCATTAGAGAGCCAGCCTTTACTTGGATTCACAGTCAGTGAAGTAAAAGATGAAAACTCAGAGTCTAGAGTGTTCCATTTACTGCACAAAAACACTTTATTTTATATATTTAAAGCAGATGATCCCCATTCAGCTCAAAAGTAAGAAACTATTTGATTTGTTACTTTTTTCTAGAAAATGGTTCAGAAATCATGAATATTAATGTTCACAGATTAAGCATATGTACAGAAAATGCATATTATAACATATGTAAACAAAACGTTTAAATTACTTAAACATAAGGTCCTGGTTTCATTAGGACTTCTGAAATGCTTTAAATGAAGAAGCAGACTGTCCTTTGCAAAAGAATAAATATAGGAGAATGAAAAAGTTTTAGAAAGGTAAAATAAAAAACCTTTCTTTTTTAGCCTATTCCTCTATCCCTGGTCTGCTGAAGTGAGAATTGAATGTTACCTTTGGAGAAATCAGAAAATGTGTTTTAAGAATTAACTGATGTGTCCCTTCTTTTATTTCCAGCTGTAAATTTTAATTATTTTTAATTAATATATGGCAGTGAAAATAAAGCAAACCCTACAAAGTAAGGGACACACGTTTGAAGTGTGTGTGCAGATATGCGTGAGCACCTAGGCATGCTTAGTATGTTCAGACCAAAAGCTTGAATTCAAAGAATACTTACACAAGCTGTTTCATTTAAAGTCCTGCTGATGTGTCTGAGTTTGGAGTCATATTTATCAATGTATGTATTATGTGTGATTTATATGAAATAACCTAGAAGCTTGGGCATTAATCAGGAGACAATATTTGCTATATGAATCATGGAGTAGACTAGAATTCAGCGTGGAAGCAGTAGATTAATCTTGCCTGTATGCTTATCTTATATGACTGGTTTCACTGCAGTTCTCCCAAATGAATTTTACATTAATACAATAGATGTCATGTGCTAACTAGTCCATTATTAATACTTAAGCATTCAAAGGGCTGCATGAATAGTTTTGTGCAAATAGGGATATTCAAGAAAACAAAATAGTCAGCACAACTGAAAATTCTGAACAGCTGCAAACATGCTTAAATACACTTCTCTACACAAAATCTGTAAGTCGTTAATTGATTTTGGGGGGTATTTTGTCTTGCAGATGCATACAAATATTTTCTTGTTAGTTACAATACCATTCCCTTGTTTCCACTGTGTCCTTATTCGTACTGTATAAAACAAAACTAAAAAAAGATCCAAGGCATTCAATAGCATTGTTTTCCTATTCAGACAATTGGTTTTTTTCATCAGTAGGAAAACTTGAAATTGGACATACTCTTTTTTACTCTAGCTAGGAATAACGTTCAGTACCTTAAAATGCAAGCTTTGTTTGAGTAATATCGTTAGGAGACTTATGCTGAACCTCTAGAATAAATACTGCTTTGATAGCATTAAAAAAAAAACAAAGAACATGCTGTTGGCCTGTTTACATCAGCGGATGCTATTTTGTCCAACTAGGGCCAAGAAAATCTCTCTGTATCTGTGTAAGTACAGTAATAAATTTTAACAAGACGTTTACTGCTAGAGCTGATAAATTTCTTAGTCCAGTACTGCCTTCAATGCTTCTATCATCTGGCCTTGTACTGATAGCTAATACATCTCTAGCAAGCTTTGTATGTTTGGACTCACTGAATGTATTTCTGGCATTTGCACAAACAGACCAACTGCTAATGCCAGTATGGTATTATTTCTTGTGTGGATCTGTAGCTAGTCAAAGCAGTGTGATTTACACTTTTACCAGCAACTGCCTAACAGTGTTTGATTTTCTAATAGGTGGATAGAAGCTTTTCAAGAAGGCACCATATTATAGCAGTGTCAGCATCGTGTCTGCAAGCTTAAAGGAAAATGTCCAGGAATGGTGGTAAAAGAGAGTACAGCAGCTGTTCAAAGAAATGGAATCCTGCCGTCTCAGCTTCCACAAAATTGTATATTTGTCAGGATTAGGAGTTGTTGCATTTTTAGTGTAAGGTAATATTTTTTTAAAGAACTGTGTGTATTTCTGTGTTGATACAAAATATGTTATTTATTAAATTCCAGTGTTTACTTAAATGGTCAGAATGATTTGTGAGGTCTGCTCTGAGGTCCAAAGTGCCCATGTCTTCAGAATGGTGAGGGGTTGGTCAACATATTCCTAAAGTTTATTTAAAAAAAAAACAAAAAACAAAACAAAACACAAAACAAATCCGTTGCAGTTGTACAGTTCCTCATTATTTGTGTATAGGTCATGAATTGCCGATGCTCACTTTGCAAGTTAGCAAGAACAGATTAGAATAGGAATTGCAAAGATTCTGGATCTTTGTTGGCTTTGTAAACTCCTTTATGAGAAGTTGTATGATACTGCTGCTCCTTTCCTTGAATGGCAATTGAAATCTTGCTTACCAGTACATTAAAACAGTACAATGAATTCTGTATCACAGAAACAATGCAAAATAAAGTTCAATTACTACAAAAAGAGAAAAGGGAAAAATAATGTAAAACAGATTTTTGCAATTACAGAGATAAGGCACTAGAGCTTTTTCAGTATTACAGATGCCAAAGAGACTAAATGAGTTATCTTCAAACAATCACAGGGTGTATTTTCTTTTATGTTTCCAATAGTAATTTAAAGCAGAATGAAAAATACATTTTTGATACACAGGGAAAAGACAAAATATATTATTTGCTTCAAAACTTTGTGTCAAATGGGTTCTGTACGCAGCATGAAACACTGTATACTGTTCAAAGAACATTAAACAATATATGCACACACACACCCTTCCCCAAATTTTAAACTATATTTAAATATTATGTTTAAACTGGAATTGCCATACAAAGAAAACCCAGCTATTTTAGTGCAGATGGCATTGAAAATGCGTACAATTCTTTGAAATACCTTTTCTTGTTTACACTATGCTTTTTTCTGTTCGACACTTTAAAATACAATTCAGTTTTAGGTGTTAGGGTTTTTTTTCTTTAAGAAAATCATCAGTATACCTCATTAGGAAATAGTTACTGATGATTCTGGTGCATTTGTTCTATTTAATTTTTGAAAGTTTTTTAACACTGTAATAGCATAAATGGAACTAGAACTATGAAAAAACATATGAAAGGAAGCCATTTTTATGTCAAATGCGTAAGTAGCCAGTTAATTTTACTGTATGAAACACTTCTCAGTATTCCTCTGAATCAAGCTAGTTGTGGTTAACAGAATTAAGAGCAATTCACTGTTAATTAATAGTTTGAATCCATGTTAATAGCTATTCTGTGGCCTCACAAAGGAAAGAGAATGCATAATAGAATAGTTAGTAGTCATCACAGGAAGGCCAAGAATGAAAATGCAAACCAAAATTCTCCTATTCCCTCAAATACCTCACGATCAGGTCTAAGATACTAACTAGCTCTGAAGAAGCTTGATTTTCCAGAGCTTCTGTTGTTAATAGTGTGTTTGGAAGCCTATGTTAATGTTAAGCCAATGTTTAATGTTAAGTATACAAGTAATTTCATTGATTTCAGGCATTTCAGTAGAGTACCTTTCTGAATCAGGGACTTAAGGCTGTGGAGATCTGACCCTCATGAACGCTAGAGGTTTGACCAAATAGTGTTTCAAATTCAGTGTGAGTCTGATCAAAGCCTTTATTCTCTTTTATTATTTTAATAGAAACATGATAAATTAATATTTTTCTTGTTATATATAAAGGGCCTTTACTTAATTTTCAAAACCAGCTGCTGTTTGAAGCTATGTAAGCTATTAGCATGTCTCTTCAGGGCGATTTCTGACATGGATTTTACTGTCTCCTAAACAAAACCAATACCCAATATAACATAGATGAGATGTGGCTCCTCCAGTTAGTATTATCCAAGGGAAGAGCTTTTTAGTATTTTCATAGGGTCTGCACAAGAACTAAGATGCAAAGCCATGAACCAGCAAATGAATCAGATTTGGCTAGGAGCAAGCTAATTTAATTACAATTCATCATGTGATATTGATCTTCCTGTTGCAGAACAGAGCAATAAAAGTCAAAATGGGTACTGAATTAAGGCGCCCAAGTTCTGCTTCCTGTGGCGTTAAACTACCTCTGAGGATTTGGTGCAGAGTGAAAAAATAGTTTCAAGTGTTCTATGAAAATCAGAGGACTTCTTCCAGAAGTAGCTGATCAATCAAAAAAATCTTTCTGTGACAGAGATAGATTGACTGGAGCCTTAATAGTGTATACATTGCAGCCTAATTCTGTGTGAAATAAATTGTCTTTGTCAACATGTTTGAATTTTTCCCCTTTCTCCAGCACGAGTGGTTTGTGTCATATGAAGAACCCACAACATAGGCATTTTCGTAACATTTTCAGATGATTGCTTTTCAGACTTACCTTATTTCTCCATCTCACCTCCCATTTTGATCCATTGCCATCAAAAGTAAAGTATTCACTTTTTGATTTGACTGAACACTAAAAAAAGACCAGAAGTTTTTAAACACCTGGCTACCTCTTCTTATAAGAATCTATAGCTAATAATTAATTTAAGATTGGTTAGTAGAGTATGAGACAAACATTAGCATGGAGTAATAGTTCTAGCATCTTTATTCTTAGATAAATGAAAGGTTCTAGGATCCTGAATTCTCTTTAACATTTTTTAACAAAAACTATTTTTTGTGCCCAAAGGACTTAAAACAAATGGATAGTTGAGCAGCTATAGAACACATTTTACTTAAATATTTTTTGTGTGGAAAAACTGATTACTCAATTATGTATATTAATTACATCATAATGTAAAGAGATGTTTAGAAAGACATATTCAATGCCTTTGTTTGCCGTAACTGCTGTCCCCTGTATTTACCATCCAAATAGGCTTTTATTTGGAGCAGTCCTAAATTGTACTGTCTAAATGAACAAATAGAATCTTTATTTTGTAAATTAAAAGTTTAAAGTTGTTGTAAATACTCCTGTGGATATGTATCATTTTTGTATAAATAAATT